GCCTCCTCCCTCCCCTGGCCTCCTCCCTCCCCTGGCCTCCCAAGGCAGTAAAGCTAGACCTTGGAACAGAACACAAATCCTGAGCCTTTATGCGGTGACCCTCAGCTGTGTGATCTGAGGCAGGGCTGTGGGGGTGGGGATTAAATCCCTGAATTGAAGTTTCTTTTTTGTGCCAGCCCTGGGGCTTGAACTCAGGACCTGGGCGCTGTCCTGAGCTTTTGTGTGCAAGGACAGTGCTCTAGCACTTGAACCATAGCTGCTAGTTCTGGCTTTTTTTTGGTAGTTAATGGGAGAGAAGAGCCTCTTGGAGCCGGGCACAGGTGGCTCACGCCTACTGTAGTCCTAGATACAAAGGCTGATATCTGAGGATCAAGGTTCAAAGTCAACCCGGGCAGGAAAGGCCAGGAGACTCTTTATCTCCATCTAAACCACCAGAAAACTGGAAGTGGTGTTATGGCTCAAGTGGTAGAGTGCTAGCCTTGAGCTGAAGAGTGCTGCTGGGGCAGTGCCTAGGGCCAGAGTTCAAGCCCCACGGCCACAAAAAAAAGTCTCATGGACTTTCCTGCCCCAGCTGGCTTCGAACTGCAATCCTCAGATCTCAGTGTCATGGCATAGCTAGAATTACAGCCATGAGCTAGCTAGTTTCTTCATTCTTGAAACCTCATTAAAGCAATTGTAAAGAAGAAAATCGGGCTGGAGGTGTGGCCTGAAGAAAGCCTGACAAGCATGAAAGCTTTGAGTTCAAATCCCAGTACCAAAAAGGAGAAAATTGATGTTATAGTAAATAAATGTGAAAACTATGTAAGACAGGGGTCATGGTAGATTTTGTTCATTTAGTATTATGGATTTATTTCCTCCACTCAAATCTTGACTGGGAAATTGGATCCTTACGAGGGTTCCTATGGGGCTGGGAATGTGGCTCAGTGGTAGAGTGCTTGCCTAGCATGTGTGAAGCCCTGGGTTCAATTCCTCATTACCACATACAAAGAAAAAGCCAGAAGTGGTGCTGTGGCTCAAGAGGTGGAGTGCTAGCTTTGAGCACATAGAGACTCAAGGACAGTGTCCAGGCCCTGAGTTCAGGCCCCACAACCAGAAAAAAAAAAAGTGTTTCTGTGTAGAGAATATTGAGTCCCAGCCAGACCTGTGACAGCTAAACTTGGGGTTTTCCCCTGCTTCCTTTGGGATCCAGTAAACAAAGAAGTCTTGTGTCCTAGCCTTCACCGGCCAGGCCAGTCCTGTGTGTGTGTCCACATGTGTACTTCCCACCCATTTCCTGAGACAGGGTCTCTATGACCTTGAGCCCTTGAGCCTATGGCCTCAGTCTCCCAGGCTGGCTGACTTTGCACATCGGCCTACCCTAGCCTTTTCATAGTATATACTACTTATGGCCCCAAGCCAAGGGCTCTAAATATATGTTATAGGCCTTGTACTATGCGAAATGCTAGGAATACAATGGTCTATCAGCTCCTTTCCTACCCTCATATGGCTTACCTACTAAAAGAAGAGCAGACATGGAGAGAGCCCATTAATCTTAAAACAGGCATGTATGTGCTGGTGGCTGGGGCAACACATGGAGTACTTTCCTCTAAGCACTTCTCTGGGAAAGTACACTTGGTGCAACTTCCAATAAAACATCTAAAAGAAATGATAATGTTACTTTTAGAAACACAGACCAGCAGAGCCAGGTTTTCTGCTCAACAGTATTATTTTTGCAGATGAAGCCCAGAATGGGTGCAAGACATCCTTAATTTCATATAGATAGAAATCTACATCCCTCAGGAGTTTAAGAGGTACCAAGTATGGATTCGTTTGCACTTAGTCATTTGGATGGCAAGAGGTTAGGAATGGTGATTCAGTTTATACTGGGGCAGACTTCTTTTTTTGGGGGGGTCTGGTCGTGGGGCCTGAACTCTGGGCCTGGGCACTGTCCCTCAGCTCTTCAGCTCAAGGCTAGAGCTCTACCACTTGAGCCACAGCTCCACTTCTGGCTTTTTTCTTTTTGCTTATGGGGTGCTGAGGAATCGAACTCAGGGCCTCAGGCATGCAAGGCAAGCGCTCTACCACTGAGCCACCTTCCTAGCCCCCTGGGGCAGACTTCTTGTATAGGTAATATACTCACAGATGACTTCATGCTGAGAAAAGATCTAGCTTGGCCTAGAAAATAGAAGTGTGGGTAAAAAGAATGACTGTATCAGTGGTCTGCAGAAGACATCTGGGTATAGCCCCAAGAAATTTATTAGCTGAAGCCACACTACGTTTTGGGGCTGTAGAATGTGTGTCTGTGTGTGTGTATGTCGGGGTGTTGGCTATCTGAACTGTAGACAGTTGGCAATGGGAGTGCAGAGTAAATGTGACATTGAACAGAACTCCTTGACCTCAGGAGTAGTAGAAAGACAAGATGGACAAAGTGGGGTAGTAGAACAAGGAAAATTATGGGAGTGATGTGGGTTCTAGTACATTTTTCACAGGACCAATGGGAAAGAAGACAATTGAGTCCTCCCTCTCCTTTCTCTATGTACCAATAATGTAGGGCAGCATTCAGCAAACCCTTCCTAGTTTGGTAGGCAGGGTCTTTAAAAAGTGGGTTAATCCAGTGTGGGAGCTTTATATAGTCTCTTAATAAACTATCACATTTCGACTTTCTCTAAATCTGGGTTCATTAGAAACAAAACAAAGCTGGGTTAAGCCAGGCACTTCATGCTTGTATCCTATCCACTCAGGAGGTTGAGATCTGAGGACTGTGGTTCAAAGCCAGCTAGGGCAGAAAGTCGGTGAGACTCTTATCATCAATTAACTACAAAAAACAAAAGCAGAAGTGGCCCTGTGGCTCAAGCGGTAGAGCAGTAGCCTTGAGCACAAGAAACTCAGGACAGTATCCAGGCCCTGAGTTCAAGCCCCAGGACTGGCACAAAAGGAAAAAGGAAAAAAAAAGGGGGGGGGAATTGGGTCATGAGTGTAAGAGTTGGGATATTGTCCCAAGTGTCATTCCAGGTGTATCCTGATCAGACCGTGGAAGATCTGAAAACAGCAGCGGGAAGCCTGGGCGCCAAAGCCAGCGGTGAAGACCCCCTCCCCGCCCCCAGCAGCAGTGTGGGCTCCCGGGCTGATCTGGCACCGAAGGCAGGGTGGCGTTGAGGGTGGCACCGAGGGGCCGGGCAGGCTTCCGGGCCAACCCTCCACCGCTCCTCAGAATCCTGGGGCGCAGGGCACAGTTCGGGCACAGCCTGGCGGCATCACACCCACCCCGCCGGCGCAGGGCGCGGCAAAGGCCAGCCCGCCGGGGAGGGGACTGGGCAGCGTTGCCGAGAGGCGGGCGGCTGGGCGGCAGCC